AAATAAATAAATTTATATAAATATATGCACAGTTGTGAGAAGCGTCACCACTTTTTTTCCCCCCCCCCCCCCCTCCTTTTCTGTTGATACGTCAATAAATAATAAATAATAAAAGGTACTAACGGATAAACAACAACAAAAAAAATAATAAATAAATAAATAAATATGTTATTTCCCTTCCGCACACACACACACACACACACACAAAATCCTCTTCTCTCACTCTCTCACTCTCTTCTCTCCCCCTCCCCCCGCCTCGGCCGCAGTTCGATAAATGAAAAAAGAATAAGATAAGATAAAATAAAATATATATCTAAGAAACTAATAAAAAACCACCACTAATCGACGACGGACGGTCCGTTCGACGAGTAAATATCACTAACTAAAGAAGTGTTAAATCAAATCGTTAATTCAGTCACACAGGCCGTGCGTGTGTTTGTGTAATCTGTACCTCTTGTTATCTGTGTGTATGTGTCTGCAAGAGGACGCACAATTCACCCGCTGAGAGAAAAAGAGAGAGTCTCTCTCTATTTCTTTTTTTGTTTGTTTGTTTGTTTGTTTCTACAACTGTCAACTCGTTTCTTATTGTCCCAATATCGTTCCCAACCCCGGCCACTGCTGCCACTGCTGTTATGGCTGTCCTATTGGGAGTGGTGGTTGCTCCGGAGCCCACACACACACACACACACACACAAACAAAAAAGGGGGTGCCGACTTTTTGTTTGTCTGTTTGTCTGTTATGGTTCCGTTTTTTCTTTTCTTTTCTTTTTTTTGTGTTGCTTCTGTTGTTTTTGTTTTTTTGTTTGTTTGTTTTTCTTTCCTTCACGATATATTGTATGAATGTATATATTTAATTATCTGTATGGGAGTACAATGCCTTCAACCTCGTACTGTGGATGCATGCAAAAAAAAAAAAAAAAAAAAGAGGGAAAAAGCAAACATACAAGTGTTTTTGCATAACAAGGATGCGTCCTCCCACCCTAACCGACCAACCCAGGCACACACACACACACAGACATGCATGCATGCATACGTGCAGCCATCACCAGCCGTGATGGACAGAAGTCAACATCGGTGGCACATGCATGAAGAGAGAGACAACCCTCCTCCTCCCCCCCCTTTGCACACACACACATATATATATTTCTCCCTTCCGTGTTTCCCTATGATTCGTTCCTTCTCTCAGTCGGTTGGTCTGTACGCTGCCGCGTGTGTGCATGCACGTTTTCCGCCAATCCTGCACACACACACAAATGGAGAGAGAAGAAAAACAAAAACAAACAGAAAGATATAAAAAAAAAAAAAAAGACACGAGAAAAAACAAAAAAAAAAAAAACATGTCAAATAATTTTGCCGCAAAATGCCACAAGGACAGCAATCACAAAGGAAACAAAAAAGGGAAATAACAACTAGAAATACATCCCTGAATGGTGTCAAAATAAATCGTGGCGGTTTTAAAAAGGGGGCATCGCATGCAGGAATACGGAAGAAATCCCCCTCATTTCTTCTCAATTTCTAAACTCCCTGCCCCCTAAAAAAAAAAAAAAAA